AAGGGACAGGTGAGGTGACAAAAAACTAAGCCAGCACAAAGGCAGAGGTTGAATGGAGAGAAAAAAGACGCCGAATGTTGGGCATATTTTGCATTGTTGTTGCCTACACACACTCACACACGCACAATAAACACACACACCGATGGAGAGAAAGAGAGAGAGGGAGAGAAAGTAGAAAGCCTTTCCTTTGGGCCTCCTTTCGGTGGCCTTTTGTTTCAATTGTCTGTAGTTTAGGTTTTAGGCGTGCGAGCCTCGTTATAGGTAACTGTAACTGTAACTGGTTACAGCGTACTTGTGTGGCCAAATCCTTGCGTGTGTCACTGTGTGTGTGTGTGCCCGGTGTCCTTTGCAAACAATAAACGACTGTCAACATATGCGCGAGCCACCCGTGCACGCGTCTCTGGAATGGCGTGCGAATTATTGCCCAGGAAGATATGACATAAAATTTAATGAAATGTTCAGAAAATGCTAAAATCCATGTTCTCGGCTCCCCCAAGTGTGTGTACTTTCCGAAAGGGTTGTAACTTAAGTGAAAATCGAAATCGCGACGAAACTCAGTTTAAACCTGAGTTGACTTTGATTTAAAATAAATGCAAGTAGAGCAGAGGGATCATTATGAACTCTTAAAAAAAAGAACCTTAAAGTGTGGAATAACTAAAACTAGAATATAAAATGTGGAAAATTTGAAACCAAATTATTTCATGGAAGGTAAAAATGATGTGGGTGACCCTAAATTGTGTTCAATAAGGTGTAACTTATATCTTAGATCCTTCTACTTAGAATCACACACATGAAAACAACATATATATTAAGAGATTACGAATAATTTTTGGCAATTTCTAACAGAAAGACACACATTTTAAGTTATAATAATATTATGTAGGCACAACATCGATAGTAAAAACACTCGATAAAAAACAGAACATGCGACACCAATAACACATGAGATCAATGGCTATTGTTAGTTGGCAAAGATGATCTTTAGAAAAATAATTTATTTTTAAAATATTGTATCTAAAAGGAATGTTATCTATTTATTTCTCTGTAATCTTTTCACTTTACCAACTTCAATGGCCTTCAAATTTATAGATATGGTCTAACCTTAATTTCTGATCCCTCACTGATTGAAATGCACCTGCCACGCCCTCTTTTGAGGCGCCTTGAGAAGGCATACTTACTGACACTGAGCGGCATTAGGGCGCTCTGCAGATGGCTGAAGATCTGCCGATGGTGGTGGTGGTGACCCAAACTGGCACCGCTGAAGTACAGGTGGTTCTGGTGCAGCGACAACTGCTGGTGGTGGTGGTGGTGATGATGGTGGTGGTGCTGTTGCTGCTGCTGCTGAAGTTGCTGCTGCTGCAGATGGTGATGTTGCTGTTGTGCCACAGCATGCTGCTGATGGGTCATAAGTTGTTGTTGCTGCTGCTGCTGATGTTGCTGATGGCTCTGCTGGGCGAGATGCTGCTGCTGTTGCTGGTGATGTTGCTGCTGCTGCTGCTGTTGTTGCTGCTGTCCGTAGCCTGCATGTTGCTGTGGTGCAGCGGCTGTTGCTCCTGCCGTCGGCAGTGCCACTACTGCTGCTGCGGTCGCTGTTGCAGCTGCCGCCGCCGCCGCCGCTGTTGCAGTCGCCGTTGCTGTTGCCGTGGCTAGAATGTGATGATGGGTGGTGGTTGAGGATCGGTGCTGGCTCTGGACCGTATTGAGGCTGTGAATGGAGGCGTGCACCGCCGACTGATAGATAATACCGTTGTTCGACATCGCCGTCATCGACTGGTGGTGGGCGTAGGCAGCCATCGTGGGCTGCACCGCCGCCGTTGCAGCCACCGGAGCCAAGGGCAGCGATCTGTAGCCCGCCATAGCTCGAACTTTCACCGATCGCACTGATCACTATTAAACACTATATATATATGCCCCGATATCGTTTTTGGTCCGCCTTGAGCGTCTGGTCGCTTGGGGATACGTGAGTTGACTGAATGGACCGACCGGAGCGGATTATTTCCTACAATTTTCGTCGTTAAATTTGTAAGTTGTATTATTTTTCGTTCTCAGCCATAAATTAGAAGGGGCAGTAGATTTTAGGCTTAGTTCGGGTTGATAATGTCACTCCGTGATGCTGATAAGGTATGCCGCCTATCTTGACATCTCCTTCTTTTTCATCTCGAGTCGTGTGTCAACAGAAATCTCAAAGCGGTCGGCACTGAAATTTCACAAATTTCCTGGACAACCCAACTAACTATGTTTAAATATTTATGTATGTAACTTGACTTTAACTCTTTGATTTGTTTGCATTTCCCCCTGCCTAGAAAATGAACCTTGAACCAGAGTTCAAACTTAAACAAGTTGCTCAAGTCGCGAGAGAGTTTTTGGCAGATCTCAAGGAATATATATATATATATTTATCCGACTTATCAAGTGACAGCTGCCAGCTGAAAACTAGACTCAGATAAGCTAAAGTCTCGTGTCCCTAAACAATGTCTAAAAATTTCGTGATTCACAATTGAAAACAATTCTTATCTTACTTTTCCTTAAAATATATGTCATACAAATATATCTGTTTACACTAAGACACCAATTAACAACATCAATCAACCAATAAAGCACTACAAAAATAAACATACAGTACACATAAAACACATATATATAGGGGGATATAAAGTGTAGTCCAGAGATCTTAAATACACCAATTTAAATTGACCACACAACATCGAAAGAAACAACAACAAGAACGGAAGGCAAACAACAAACAGAGTCGAAGGGGCTGGAGTAAAGTGTAAACAAATTACATAAACAAATTGAGGCAAATTGGAAGATTCGCGAGCGAAGTTCTCCCGATTAAATCATGTTTTATGTAAACCTTATTGCCAGATCAACCAGAGTCTGTGGACATTTAATGTCGATGCACGGGCAAATATTGGATGAGCCATCTTCACGTAAGCATGGCGATACGATATACGTAGAATACGGTTCGGCAACGTAACGTAGCTAGTTTTTCCGCAGGGCCAAGAGAAAGCCACGTCCGACACGCTTGGCCAAGGTCTGAAAACTGAAAACAGAAAGCGGAAAGCTGAAAGCTGCCAACTGCCAGCGGAAGGCAAGGACATTCGGCTTGCCGACGGCAACCGAGTCCTGTTGTTCGGGCCGAGTTATTGCATTTGGGCCCGGATTCGTCGGTTGCCAGCAGCTTTAAGCCTAAGCAAGAGCGAGCGAGAGGGTCAGCGAGATGATGGATACAGTAGTAGGGGGTGGGGTACAGGAGTTTAGGTCTTGAAAATACTAAAATTGGTGGGTGGCCAGCTTTATGTCCTTAAAAACAAAAGTATATCTTGGAAGCATAAACTTATTTTGAAAGAAATCTATAAACTGCTTAGTTAAGAATATTAGATATTTAAAATGCTGTTACTCCTTTCCCATAAATAAACCATAGACAATCGACATTAGCTTAATTTCCTTGGAATGCCAGAAGGAACTGTGTGGGTTGGTCCACAAAAGCACCTACACATTTCTATTGCACAACAATATTTAGGGGTTGTTCCCGACCGTTAGAGACCTGCGCAATAGATTAACCCCCAACCGCCGGCAGTCGCCCACCTAAAACGGAGAGGCTCGTCGTCGGATCCATTTCGGTCCTACCCCAAAAAACCCAGCGAAACCAAAACAATAACAAAATCCAGGAAGCACAAGAAGAAAAAAAGTGCAATGGAGGGGAAGGTGGCGAATTTGCACGTGCCTGGAAAACCTTTGCACACCTTCCGGTGGGCAGTCAAGTTGGCGCTGGAATTTTTAATCAAACCTGAAGCGCAACTATGCAACATGGACACGGACGCACCTGCAACACACGCCACAATCCACGGGATTTATTTAATATACATTTTATAATAAATATATATATTTTAGATGGAAATTAATATTACGCTAATATGTGGGTTATTGATGGAAATATGCCAGCGAAGAATTTTGATATTACTTTACCTAAAAGTGAAAGCATTAAAATGTGCAGATTACTAGGATCCTTCAGGAAAATGTTTGGCAAACGTTCTTGATGAAATTCTACGTTAAGTGTTTTAAATTTGTTAGACACTTTAATCCTCTAATGGGTTATTAACATTTAAATTACCCTAAAATAACTGAACCAGAGCTTAAAGTAGACATTAAAAAATAATTAGCGATTCCACTCGTTCCGCTAATTATTTATCTGTACATACATATGTTTTAGTTATAATTCGTTACAAATTTACTGGTTTGAAATTTAATTATTATTCACTTTAACCTGCTATAGGCAAACAAGTCATGGTCATGGTAAGTAATTCAAAGTCAGGAATACAAAACCATTTGTTTCAATAATTCAGTCTACATAGTAGGTCCAACTGAAGAACTGTGTGTTGCCACATAAACGAAACGTTTAAGTCGTCCGAATCGGGAAGCAACATTGTCTTTGGCATTGTAAGACTATATTTCTTTTTCAAATAAGAATGGTTAGGAGAAATCTGCTCCAAGGGCGAATATCTCTTTATCAATGCAATAAAAAGTAATAACGGTTTTAAATACCCATTCGCAGGTAACGAGAGATACTGAAACATCATTTATATAATTTTTTATACAATATTGCAGACGTTTAAAATAATTTTTGTCCGGTTGACTGAATTATATTTTAGATTTTAATAATTGTATTTTACTAATTCAAGGTAAACATAGCGTGAAATTAGTTCTCTAAATATATTATTTATGTAGTAGATTTTTTCAGTTGCTAAGAGTTTATCTTGTAATTGTAAATTTCTTTTTGGGATATTTTAGTTAAAGAATTTACAGAGGAAATGTTGTTAAACATTTAAAAAAAATATTGGCTAGTCTGCCATTTAATGGTTCACTCGCCAAACAATTTAACAGTTTGATTATAAGGTTCATTTAAGTGTATCCGCCGACTATATGATGCTAAACCAATCTGATATAATCGCCCACCGATTTGCATGCCAGTTCAGTTCTCTTTTCGACACCCAGGAGCCATGTTCAAAGTTCTGATCTTTGGACTAGTCGTCCTGTCATCTTTGCAGGTGGAGACCAAGTTTAAAAGTCTCCACTGTACTAATTACAACAAGACATTGGGCAAAATTTTGCTGTGCAGAATCAAGGCCATCAACCGATATAGGAACTCGATAAGTATTCAATTTAGGCAGTTGACGACTGTCAATAACGTCCATGTAAGTGAAACCTTCAAGTAGTTTGTATTTTATGTTATTAGCCCAAACATTTTTAACTTCAGATGCGTTTGGAACTTTTTAAACGCGCCAATGGTTGGCGTCCTTTCCTCTACAATATTTCCTTTAACCTGTGCGATTTCCTCTCTAAAAGAAACAATATGATCATTGCCCTTGGCTACGAATACATCAAGCCGTACATCCCAATAACGAACTACACTTGTCCGTTTAAGGTATGCAGCCTCCATTTCTCAAGAAAAACTTTTCCAATGCCTCCTTATATTTCAGAAAAATCATTTAATAAAATGTACGGACCTGGAGTTTGATATCGAAAAGTTCAGAATTCGATTCCCAATAGAAACAGGAGAATACGCTCTTCAGTTAAGTTTTATCGTCCAGAGGAAAGTGACTCTGACCCTAAACGGATCTTTAGAATACTACAATTACAGGGAGCACTAAATTAACACGTTCCCATAAAACCTAGTACTTACTTCACTCTAGAAGTTTACGAAACGGAATTTATATTTATCAACTAATTGTTGGAGACAACAATTCATTAGTACTTATAATAAATTCTTTGGGGGAGGATTGTGTTTAAATTGATATTAATGAAGTCTTTGATATTAGCAAAAAAAAGGTTGACTATATTATTATAACCGCTACTCGTAGAGTAAAAGGGTATATTGTATTAGTGCAAAAGTATGTAACAGGAAGAAGGAAGCGTTTCCGACCCTACAAAGTATATATATTCTTTATCAGGGCCACTAGCCGAGTCGATATAGCCATGTCTGTCTGTCCGTCTGTCTGTCTGTCTGTCCGTCTGTCTGTCTGTCTGTCCGTCCATATGAACGCTGAGATCTCGGAAACTACAAAAGCTAGAAGGTTGAGATTTTCCACACATATTCTTGGGCTTCCTACGCCGCTCAAGTTTATTCCAACAGAGCGCCACGCCCACACCTTTAAAGATTTCCGAGAAGTTTAAATGCAATTTTGTTGTGTATATTTATACCTATCGAAATGTAGAAGACGTTTTTCATTAAAAAGTTATACGCAATAAAATAAATTTTATATATCCATCTCCCTCGCACTCCTTTTAGCCGAGTGACGGGTATTAGATAGTCGGGACACCAACCCGACTATAGCGTTCTCTTTTGTTTTTTAACTCTTTTGGTTTTAAACTCTCAAAAAGAGAGTTTGAAGAAAATCTGCTGTGCACTATAAAGCCATCCATCCATTTTTGAGTCCAAATTTATGTAACGCCTTTTTATAAAAGTTTAAACATAGCATGATTATTAAAGTGTCTATCTTCATTTGACGAATCCATCGATTTTAAGTGGATGTAATAGCTCAATTGTTATGCTTTTCCACATAATTAAAACACTAAAAACTATATAGAATGGAAATAAATAATTTTAAACTGAATCAGTTATTCAGTAACCGACAAATCAACATGTTGGCTTTGGTGATTTTCACTCTGTTAGTTTTAAATTCACTTAGCGTGGAGGCCAAATGGAACACCCTTCAATGTAATGCAATCGACAAGGAGATTATTGGGATTTCGTTATGTAAACTTAAAATTATAAACCGATATAGAAACTCAGTCAATATTCACGTTATGATCAAACAAGAAATCAAACAATTAACCGTAAGTAATCGTTCTCCAAGTTTAAACAAATTAATTAATATTAATAAATACTAACACGTTCGCTTAGAATTCTTTAAAAGAGCCAATGGCTGGAAGCCCTTCTTGTACAACGTCTCTACAAATTTGTGCGACTTTCTCAATAATCGTAAAAACGTAATTATTGGTCTTTTTTATGCCTACGTTAGACCCAATCTCGGCCAAAATTACACTTGCCCGCTTAAGGTGAGTAAAAACTAAAAATGCACCACACGCACTCACTATGAAAATTACAGGCTAATGACCTCGTGGCACTTGATAATTTCGAATTCGATATAAATCAATTTCGAATTCGTTTTCCCATCGAGACGGGTGAATATGCAGTGCACACAAGCTTTTATCGTCGCCAAAAACTAATTCTCGTAACTAAGACTTCGGTGGAGTACTCAAACTATAGAGAAATCTAAACTGCTAAATTATTGGTTAATAATAAAATAATCATGAAGTAAAGTTTATTTACGCATTTTTTATGCATGGGATTGAGGGGCAAAATATTAAGCTGGAGAAACCGGAAAGACCCAAGCAGATAAAATCTCAAAAAACTAAAAGAATGACAAATCATTTTTTCTTTATAGTAGATTTTGCTGAACTGAAATATTAAATATAGAAGATAAATTGTTGAAGAATTCACCGAAAATTTAATTACGTAATATAGAGAGCCTTTAATCTATAACTTATGTAAAATATGTGGTAAACTGATCTTTCAAAATCTAGTGCCATCCGTCAGAGAGCTTTCGGAAAAAAATCAAACCTTTTTTTAAACAATTTTTTTTTTTAACTGGTAGCCACGGTATCTTAACAATAAAAAGTAATTATTCCAGGAAAAGAAGCGTTAAAACAACTTTGAAATTTGCGTGACTATTAACGTGATCATATTTAATTGACGAATCCATTGATTTCAACTAGAAACAATATAATAGCTTTATTGTTAAACAAAATATGTATTTATGTAAATCGCTGAAAACTATCTAGCTCGAAAATTATTAGTTTCGAACTACATCAGTTATTTAGTGACCGATTTCAAATAAACATGTTAGCTGTGGTGATGTTCTCTCTGTTTGTTTTGAATTCACTTAACGTGGAGGCCAAATGGAAGACACTTCAATGTAAAGCAACCTACAAGGAATTTTCTAAGATTACGTTATGTAAACTCAAAATTATCAATCGGTCCAGAAACTCAGCCAATATTCACTTTATGTTTAGGGCTAGTACTCAACCCAACAAAAAGTCGTCCAAAACAAAAAACTTCATATGAAAAAAAAAACTTTAAGAAATCGACTTTTTGTTGGGTTGAGTACTAGCCCTTAAACCGTAAGTAATCAGCCAGCAATCGTAACAACGTAATAACACCAGTTTACGAAAAAAAATTTATGAAATACGCATTTCATAAAACCTTTATATTCTGGTAAAGTACATCTTTCTGGATAAGAAAAGGGGACTTACAATATTTTGTAGAACTAACATTTATTATTACACCTTTTCTTACCGATGTCAAAAATCACACATTAATAAACACTCGAGTTTCCATACCAATAGTTACATCTTTCTGATGTTCTGCTTGGATGCTGATTTGAGTGATCGAATTCAATCGATTGAAATAGACAAAAATAAGTACGTATCACAACAATCCTCTTTGGCTGCTGACTCACATTCCCCCTTCCACCACTCGGGCACTTCAAAAGGAATTTCAAATATTTATTAACCAATTTTGTTTAAAGTGTAAAAAACGTTTTTGACGCTTTTTTAATTTCTAACTCGAGCTGTGATTAACCGATTTTGGCCATCGAAGACCTATTTTACAGGTAATAGAATGCCCTTTAACTTTCCTATACACGGCATTGAGATCCATTCATTAGTTTAAAAGCTACAATTTGTCAAAGTTGAAGAAGTTGGAAAAAACGCAAAAATGGCTTGTGCACACAAGCTTTTATCGTCGCCAAAAACTAGTTTTCGTAATAAAAACTACTTTAGAGTATTCAAACTATAAAGAAATCTAAGTAACTCAAATAAATTAATTATAAATAAACTTAAATACAATTGTGTACTTGATAGTCATAGTAATAAGAGCTTAAGCTTAGTTCAAGCTAAAGACCAGCAGATAATTTAATACTTTATAAATAATGTCTTAAAAAAGTCAATTTTTACCATTTGTTTAAAATTAAATTAGTTATTAAATAACTAGCTAACCATGTGGGCATCGGTGATGTTTACTGGGCTAGTTTTTAATTTCAAAACATATGTATCTTTACGCTAATCTAAGCGACAATGAATATACCAAATGATTTGTGATTTAAAATTAATTAATTTTATAAATTCATAAATATTATTAGGAACTAACTGGTTTTTTCCTGTTACACAAATCAAAATAATAACTCAAAAGCTGGAAAATTCAAAATCAAATTAAAAAAAATAAAATATTCCCAATAAAGTACAATTTAAATTAAAAATCAGACTATAAATAGATTACTTCCAATTATTTAACTGGATTTGCCAACTAAAAAAAAGAATTAAAATGATAAAATAAATAAAAGATATTCATAAAATTTGTCGCCATTGACGTCAATGCTTAGCAATTAAACTGCAGCCTGGCTTAAATGAACAGTCTAAAAAGACGAAATGAATTTTAAAAAATAATGTGTGATTAGAGTTCTAAAATGAAATGCGGCACAAATGGCCAAAGCAAATCAGGGCATGGCAAACACGGACTGAAAGTGGGTAAAAGACCAAAGAAAACAAAAACCAGGACTTTGACACAATAATCAAACGAAGTGTCCTGTGTATGAGTGTATGTGTCTGTAAAGGAACAACAAGTGAAAAGCAAAGGCGGACGGTGGGCGTGGCAGCGTCAAATTAGGCCCAGTGCTATCTAATTAGGCACCTACAGGACGACACCTTGCTCGATCCCACCTGTTCGTCCTGTCCTCTCTGTTAGTCCTGTGTGAAGTGGTGCCAGGCGCCGGCCATCATATTTTGTAATTTAACTCACACGAAAAGATTGTAGTCGGCCCTATTCTTTCTTTTTTAGCCAATTTTTTTCACTCACTTCTGGCACTCACTTTTTTCTCGTTTTTTTTCTGGGACGCGCTCAAGTTTCATAACAACGGAAATGCAAAAGTTTTGTGCAAAACAAACCGCCAACTTTTTTATTTCTCTTGGCAATTATGTGCTCAAGGAAAGAGACAGAGAAACGGACTCAAATAATGATAATGAAGCACACAAGGCTCGGCCAAAAGGATTTTTGAAGAAAAATGCACAAAAAGTGGAAAACGAATTGTAACGCTTTTTCTGATTTTTTTTAGATATCTTTTCTTTTCTTTTTTTTTTACGGGACTTGCATGCAAAAGTATCTCATGGCCCCACATATGTGTGGGGGGTAATTTGTTTAATTTGCTTGCCTTTCGGGCGTTTCAAAAAAAAAGAGTGATAGAAGACCTCACCGAAAGGCAAATTTCGTGGCTTTATTTCAGTTTTGTTTTCTCTTTTCTGAAGGTTGGCCGCCTTTTAGCTAATGGCCATGGCGAATATGATAGGATAACGGGAAAAACAACAACGGGTGCCGAAAAACTAAAGCCAAACTAAATTAAAATATTTTAAATTCAGACCTGGCAGAAGTTTTATCAATAAAATGCAAGCCGGCAAAGTCGTCGGTTTGCCGACTTTTTTTCCCGCTTTGCTTTTGCATTTGTTTAACTGCAAATCAGATAGAGATCTTCTAAAAGTCTGCATTCAACACACATATACGTAGGAACACATAGTCGATGGGCAATTGAAACATCAGCAATACTTGAGCAGCTTTGCAATATGTCGACTGGAACTCAACAGCTCGACACCCCCACGAAACGAGATGTTGCCTTTGGCCATAACTCGAATCTGGCTTAAAAATCACTTAGACACTTCGCCCATCGTTTTGGCCCGTCAGCAGAATCGCCGGCCAAGACGACACTCATGTATCGAGTGCAATAATCGTCACTGCTCCCCCACGAATTTCTCGAGTGCGACTTTTTCTGTGGACCTCAGCACATTGCCCATTTCCCAGGGCGTTGCTCGCCAATCGTTTTCGAGTTGTCAACTTGGCTAATCTGCACTGGGATCTCTAAGGAATTCATTGAAAATTTATTAAGCGCTGCCAAATTGCGTGGGCATGGCCAAAGAGCAGTTGAAATATATAAAATTAAACTGAACTCGTTGCTCATAAGATCAGATTTAGAAGGTCTTAATGGAATAAAACAATTATCTTTACCTAAGAATAAATAAGGGTTTAGAAATAAATATTATAATAATTCAAAGTACTGAATTTTTATAGGATTTTGAAATCTCTTTTAACTGTCAAAATATGCGTCTAAAAGTATACATTGAATAAAGGAAAGTCGTCTTCTTGTATAAATTCATATCATTTTTGAATTTAAAAAAATTGTTGCATACTTTTAGACACCTATTTTAAAAATATTTTAAAGTGATTTCAAAAACATAGCTGTTTCTGTGGTGGTGAGTATTGAATATATATATAGAAGGTATATTAAGTATTCGAACTTTCCGTAAGAAAAAGATTTCCAAAGACAAACGAATAATTCTCCAAGTTAAGTTGAAACTTTCAATTGGCTCCAATTGGGATCATTGAAAGTCCTGAGCACTTTACGCCCAAACGAATTGATTTGTTTTCAATTTTTTTGTGTTTTGTGTTCTTTAGGAAATCATTGAACCAGCCGCCACTTGGCGAAGCTGGTGGAAACTTTCTGATAACTCGTAACTTGTTACTCAGCACACACAGCGCTAATGAAGACGGCACACACACTCGCCCCTCGTTGTTGGCTGTTTGTTTTGCCCTGGCCAAAAGCAAAACACCGGACACCAGGGACCGGCAGCGGACTGATTCGGGTGTGAAAATCAATGGCATTCACAGCTGAGTGCAGCCGAAGCCCCGAGGGGGCGGACAAGACGCTTTTCGATTTAATTGAATAATTGTTAGGCCAGCCACGTTCGCCGAATTCCTGGTAAATCAGCGAAAATTTGGAAACTAAACAGAAATAGAAAAAGCCCCAAAATAGGCAACACAAGAAGCGATACAAAGGCCGGCGAATCTTCAGCCGGGAGACTGCGTCAGGCTTTGTTTTTCGGTCCCGATGCAAATGCACCTGCAGCACCTGCTGAAAACCCCGCTAGCAATTTATGCGTCGCATTTGAAATTCGGTGATACCAAATCCTCGAGACTTACCGTTCCCAAGTGGCACATTCGTTTGCGTTGTTGTCGATTGTTGCTGCTGCTGCTGCTGCTGCTGCTCGGTTGTCACCGCGTTGGACAATTTATTTGATGTTGTCGTTGTCGCTGATGCTGCTGTTGCTGCCGCTGCTGTTGTTGTGGTTGTCGTTGCCTCTAGCTTGCTGCCACCATTAATGGCCAGTGTGGTGGAGCTCTTTCCTAACCTCAGTATAGTGGTGGCTGTGGATGAGGTGGCTCCTGCCGAGGTTGCTCCTCCGCTTGTGGCCGTTGTTGCTGCCGCCGCCGCCTTGAGCTTGTGAAGTGCTCCTGCCACGCCCTTGGCCGCCTTCGTGGTGCGTGTCACGCTTAGAATACTTGAGGTGGCAAGACTGTTGCCGCCTGGTGGCGAAGTGGCCATGGAAGTGGTGGCTCCAGCAGACGAGGCCGTGGAGTTGCGTATAACCAATATGGATTGAGACTTCTCCAGACGCTTCAGCGTTTGCAAAACAAAGGGGGACTTGCTGTCGCAGTTGCTCTCCGTGCTGAGACTGCGAGTGGCCTGAAAAAAGGTAAGAAAAAGGTAATAAAATATGGTAAATAATAAATAGTTCCACCCTTACATGTTTCAGCATAAAGGGCCGCTCCACCAGCTTGGTTTGCGTGGCATTCGATGGTTTGCAACGCTCCTGGGCCTTTAGAACGCTCTCCAGCTGACTGGCATTGATGGGCGTTTGCAGCAGGATCGTATTGCTGCTGGCCTCCTTGTTGCTGCTGCTGGCCACAATGGAAATGGTGGAGTTGGTAGTTCCACTTGAGCTCTGCACAATGGTCTTTCTGGCCACCGTTGTGGCTGTGGGCAATTGATTGAGCGTGATGGCCGTGGCCGAGTGGCTCTTTTCCTGCTGCTGCTGCTGTTCGCTGAGCAGGCTGAGTATGTCCTGCTTGTTCTGAATGATGATCTGGCCATTCTCGTTGCGGGTGCCGCGCAGCAGGATAATGTTGCTGCCGTTCGCAGTCGGATGTTGCTGCTGGTTTTGCTGCTGCTGCTGCTTCTGCTGTTGCATGGCCCCGATCTTGAGCTTGGCCGCTCGCAGAGTCGTCGTTGTACTGGTTGCTGCTGTTGACTTCGCTGGTTTAGCTTCATTGCTGCTTAGCTTGCCGCTGCTCTGCGATCGAATCAGGACATTTTTGGAATTTATTTGGCCTAAGGGGAGAGAAAAATAAACTAATTAATTGAATATTTGTCTAAGGACCGGTAAATAATATTTTAATTTATAAACTATAAGGGCTAAAACTCTACCCAACAAAAACTTCATATGAAAAATACATCACAAAAATTTTGTTTCATATGAAGTTTTTTGTTTTGGGCAATAAAATAAGTTCAGAAAATTTCTAAAAACTCAATACAATTTTTAAAAATTTTTGGAAAATTCCATCCCTTATATTTTTCGAACATTTGATCTCAAATCAGGACACTTCATTTTTGATTTAAGTGCTTTTGAAACGTTTTGTTCTCGATTTCGAGACCACATTCTTGAATTGAGCAATTTAGGGTGGCCCCAAAAAACGAACAGCCCCATTGTATGCAGATTCAATGGAAACTTCATGAGCGGCACAAGATTTATGACTCCATCTCGATCGAGTGCCGAAAGCTTTGAATTAGAAGCGCATGGGACAGAGCAGGAGGCGTGGTTGCCCATTGTTGCACTTTCCCAGGGTCCACAAAATCCAAAAACGACAAAAAAAACCGAAAAGGGGCGTCGAGCATTACGTATCCGCGGCGTATGCCTAGAGCGGTCAGTGGCTCGGACACTCTATTTTGTTGGCCAACAATTGGGGGTTGGGAAGGGGTAGCCAAACGCTAAATCAAGCGAAAGACGACATGTTTATGGCAGGGACGAAGGACTACTTAGCCGAGGAACCCCAGCACAAAACGCAATAAAAGTGCAACAAACAAGCAGCGAGTTACCAGCCAAGAAAGGAGGAGAAAGTAATGGGGGTAGGTTTTTTCGGGGGGGAATGGGGGTTTACGTTTTAAGGGCCGAGGAAAATGGGGGTCTCTGCCCTGGCATGCGTTGCCAAATATAGACTCTCAAGGCTGAAAGCGACACGGAACGTAAAGTGCGCGCCGGAAACATTTGAAAATGTAGCCTAAACACTTGTCCGGCTCCCCTCGTTTTCCCCCTCCCCTGAATTTTCCACCACCCCCTCCCTATGCTTTCCACACCCCCAAGCCGTGTGTGTTTGTTTTCGCAAAAACGTGCGGGTCATAATTAGCCGTTGACGCCGCCTTCAGTTGGCTGTGTTTTTCGGGAAAAGCGGCGAAGTGGGCGGGGAAAAGCTCCACATGCCATCTGACCCCAAGTGGACAAGTGTCTGCGCACCCTCCTGCTATCCGCACCCCTTGTTTTCGGGTGTCTGTGCGAAAAGGTCGCCTGCCGCCAGGCAAAATAAACCTACTGAACCGGCCCAGGATCGGAATAGAATAGGTGGGGCCACTGGGCCGTTGGCTGGCCATCTATTCGGGCGCACATACTTCATTGTAATGTATGGCAGAGCAGCCACAACAACCCAGGCATAGGGATCCGAGGATTTCGGGGGACTCAGGGGATCCGGGGATCAGGGGGCCGCGTAACACATAAAACACTCTTGGCTGAAGCTTCGCATATTTTTGCGTTCGTCGCGGCTTTTGATGTGCAGCGGTCCAGGCACAGTGGGGCAAATCGTTATCGAATTAAATGTAAAAGTATTTTCAGGAATAAGTATATATTTTTAAATTACATTTTTAATTTTACTACAATTATAAATTGTACGATTCAAACGCTTTGAGAAACTTAAAAATTATATTTATTTAATATTTTTTATTTTTATTTATATTTTGTTTTTCTGACTAATTTATTTAAAAACACAATTTTTTTGTATTTTAAAAATTATCTTCAAATGTATTTCTAACATTAATAAAGTCTTTTTTTTTTGTATTTTTATAAGAAGGCAAAAACACAACTTTTTTTGTATTTGTATCAGTTCTTCCTCTTAATTTTCTTTTTTTTAAATGTTCTGCAAAATAATTTTTTTTTCAAAAATTGTTTCTGTATTGACCCACCGTGCTTTACCACGTGCTTTGCACTATTGGTTGACTAGAGGGCTAAGGGGTAACAAAACTTTCTGGGTAGCTGGACAAATTGCAAGTCTATTGAATTTTTATTAGAAGCATAAATCAAAAGACCGTTAGATATGCCAGCTGGGGAAGGAGTTCGATAAATATGTCAATAGATTCTGCATATAGATTGCCGTCAAAGGGTTAAGAAAGAGGACAAATCAAAGATGAGTAAACCACATTATTTTCAAGAACTTTTGACAGGAAGTACATATCAACTAGACTTAAATAATTTTGTATGGGGTTTATCAGTTTATGGTTGCTTGTATTGATCTGGTTCATCTGATTATGATCAATGTCTAGAAGTTAATTAAATGTTTTCACTGTTTAATAAGGTGATACTTAAGCGTATTATCCAAAAATATACATTTAATCTGTTTTAATTTTCTTGAGTTTTTTCCGTTGGATATAAAATACTCTGTTGTGACTATTAACATATTTAAATGAAATTTAACAACGTTTTTTTCCTTAGGAAATTTGTGGTAAACATTTTATATCTTATCTGAACCAATGAAATAATTTATGTGTGACCAAGTTCATTATCAATAATGTTTAGCATATAAACAAATCAAAATTCCACCCCCTCAAAACAGACTAATGAAGAGAGATGCCTTACAAAAGAACTCAAGAGAACAGCTGATCGAGTCTATAGGAATTTTCGAACAGCGTTCCTATCTTTTTAAAACGACAGTAAGAAAGTATCATGATAAAAATTATTGACATTTAAACAATACTAGCAAATTCCTAATAATACACGACGGCCACCAGTGGGTTAATGGCCCACCGAAACCCCCAACAACGTAAAAACAAAACGCAACGCGAAGCGAAACACAACAAAACAAAAACTAATTGGAAAACCAATATCAAAGAGAGCATGGTTATCAGTTCGAAAGTCGGGAGATACGAGGGGCTATACCACAGATATGATACATATTCAGGGAAAGGGGTAGGGGTAGATGGGGAGTTGGGGAGTTGGGGATAACTTACTCTGGAGTTTCAGTGTGGAAGTAGAAATAGAAGAAGAAGACGAAGCGCTGGTGGAAATATCGGGCACATTTTCCATGTGCGCAGCTTTAGCAACCAATTTTAGAATGCACTACTTTTTAGCGGTTGGCACATTTATTTTATTTTATCGAGAATGCATTTCCATTTTTGCACACCAGCTCTCACACACACACGGGCACTCGCACACGCACACAGTGGCAGAAATCGCAGAACTCTGGGATATCGAAAAAAAGGTAAACAAAATTTTTCACTGCCTCCGTGTGCGAGATCCGTAGAGTCTTTCAGCGGATTTCGATGGGTCCCGGCTGGCCAATGCATTAAATGCAATAGAAAATCAATAATATCACCGTTTCACACACGAAATTATTAAAAAAAAACCATAGCGAAAATATTTTGAGTTACTCCAAAACTGTGTGCATGTCAAACTACAGAACAGATGACGGCAGATGGTTGCCAGACTTTGCGCTCCTCCCGTTTTTATGAGGGCGCTTAAAAATTTAACTATCGCATTGAATTTAAATACAATAGTATTATTTTGCTTATTATAAAAAAAAACTATTCTTTATTTTTAAAATTTATAAAATAAATAAATAGTTCATAGTCATATGGCAGCACCAAAACTTCAAAAATTTTAGTGCTTCTCAAACTGTGCGCAATGTAGTTCACGGCATTTGAGTGTTTTACAGCACTGCTGGCAATCGATAGGCATATTCATCGAAAATGCCAACTGATTTTAGAGTTTTACAATCGCGCCGGCGCGCTTTTTAAAACTCTATTTGAATTTTATAGCGAAATAATTTGTAAGCAAAGCAACTTTTTGCAAACGTGAATGAAAAAGTACGAAAGTCTATAAAATTGTACTGAGAGAAAATTTTGTGAAGTTTTTAAATGTAAACATTTAGCCTGATTCTTAAACAATGTTTATTATTAAAGACTATTATTTTATTTTATTAACTTGACCAATAGACAATCTACCGAATCGTTTTTCTGTATTTATGGGATAATGTTTAGACCTTCGTGATGTGGAACTCATAAAAGATAAAAACGATTGTGCTAGCTGAGTTTAACAACTATTTTTATGTACTTTTGCAAACATTTTAGTTAGAATGTATAACGCTGTTAAATGCATTGTACAATTATATTAACAGCACGGCAAGTTCTCTTTACTCGCATATAAATTTGCGTTCAAGCTTTTTCCGCGAAAAAAGTATAAATAAAATCATTTTTACGGTTTAATGCGGTTAGTAATTGTTTTTGTGGAACGTAAATAAATATATTTTATTTGAATTTTTGCAGTTTATGGCGCATAAAAAGAGGTATTAAAATTAAAAATTCAATTAAATGTGGTTTTTAGTTACGACATTGTCTTTACCACTTTTTGAGCTATTAAAATATGAACATATGTACGTATAATATCAGCCCTTGGCTGACCATTTTTGATAATCGCCGACTTTCGCCAAATTTCCTTGGATTTTTCCAGCCGCCGACCCCGCGGTTTTCCGCCCCTCCACCCCCTTTACAAGCCACCGCCCCTCGGGCAGCGGAAGTCTCGGGCTCTATCAAAATCAACGGGCGACGACTGAAGCGAACACAGAATAATTGCTATAGCTGTGTGCCAGTGCCAGTCAGTGCCAGTTCGAAATCGACGACAACATCAGCAACAAGCATTGCAACAACAGCAGCAACACGTTGATAAGTCGCCTGTATTGCCGCTGGCTTGTTATTTTATTGTCGCTTTTGTTGCACATTGAAAATAATACACAAAATAATTGAATTACTCGAAATGTGTGCATGGCCGTGTGCGTGAGATTTGCGTATGTGTTTCGTGTTTTTATTGGGGGCGTTCAGGGCCCCGCTGATAAGCTTTGATCAAGAGCTAAACGAGATAAGAGCTGCTCATTTGCATGCACAGGGGGAATCCCCTAAGATGAATCGGCATTTAGAATATTCTTCCTTTTGGCCATAAAAATAGTAATAAATTAAAGCTTTCTTAGAAAAAAGTTAGCTTTAATGTTGCAATAAATATAAAAAATTTATTTTTGTATTTCTTATGAAAATATTTCAAGTCAGTTCTTTAAAAGTTCATCTGTTGTAACACTTTTCCCGTAAAAAACCTTACATTTTGGATTCCGTAACATGGTAGTTTACTGTATATTAATGTCCAAATTTAATTGAAACGCAAAAGCGTACTTATTTTCGTTTTATAAAAGCTCCACTCTTTTCTAATAAAAATGGGCATAGCTATAAAGATTAAATAAGGATTAATTCTAAAATGGTAGCAATTGTCTGCTAATTCTTTTTCTAGCTTCCGAATATTCCACACAAGATGCCTTAAAATATATGTTTTTGTATAAAAACAGTTATAACGGCTTATAAGTTTTTAAGTTGAATTTATGGCTACTACAGGAAATCAGTTGTGCAACAATGTAATTTTATATGTTGGAATAATAAAAAGTTAAACTAGTGATAGTTCGACCTGTACGACGCTGACCCAAGCGCCTACTTCTATGGGGTACTTTGATTTTCTCCGATTTTCAACAAGTGCTTCTCTTCTTAACGACATGTGATAAGGAGCGCGAGGTGGAAACGTGACTCTCGGATGGGCGGGCATCGGCACGTAAATTATGCTGATGACACCGGCTCCGCACCCAGGCTCATAATGTAAGCTACAAAGCTCAAAACCCAAAATGAAAACCCAGACGATTGCGCTTGAAAAATACCAGCACGTTCCTACGAGCTGCAAAGGCAACAAGAATAACTGGCTTCGGCTGCCATTTGATCGCTGCACACAAATATTTACAATACCATTTAATGACATTTTGCCTTATAAAACAATGAGTAAAAAAAGTGTTTTCTGGTTTCATGCATTTTATTTGGTTAATTGGGCCTTTGAACTCTATTGCGACGATGATGAAAACGACGCCAAGATAAAGTCATGTGCGACGAAACTCGAAGTCCCCCCAGTCCGCCCCCTTACCAAACATCCGCAGTCAACGCCCCTTGGCGACGATAACAATTTTAAAGACTCGAATCAAAACCCAATTGTGAATTTTTAAAGGCCATTATTACTTGCAAATAAGGGGGCGTTCCTACGCCTCCTCGATAAGTGCACATTGAACACTTGTACTTGTACTTGGTCGTATAACCTGCCATTTAATGTTCCTGGCTAAGGAATTGTTAATAATATCGTATTAAATATTCTTTATTTTAACTTAATAGATTTAAAACAACAACAAAAACTCTTGAAAATTTCTATAAAAAACACAAGTTTATATTAAACAAAACATAAAATTACTACAAACCCTTAAATTTCAATCTTGGTGATAATATTGATATACCCATTTCAAAATTTCGAAATATTTTTGGGTAGGGTGGCCTTACCATGGATTTCACTTGACCAATAGAAAAACAATTTCAAAGAACCTGTGTAAAACCACTATGTATAAAACATTAAAAGCATTTTAATGTGCACCGGTCACCCTGTTGCTCCCCAGGAAAAATCTCTCAATGAAAAGCCTTTCGGAGTTTTTCTTTTGGCCGGCGGAAAGGAAACTGGTAATAAAATTGCAGCGGGAGAGAAAATGCCAATAATAGCTGCAATATTTGCTGTCAGCGGCGCAGCGAGCGGCCTCTAACTGTAAATGGCCAATATTGAGCGGAGAGGAAAGCCCAAACAGGAGCTCAAAAGTCAGAGATAAAGAGAGAGATCGTGGTGACGGAGAGCGGGTGTGGGAAAAATGGAAGTGTAAGTGTGTGTAGATGCAGCGATACGACAAGGAGAGCACAGTGGGCAGAAAAAGAAGAGACGGTGCCAACCACCCACTAACTAAACAAAGCTTAAGCTGCCGAACTTATAAACAATTAGTTTGGCAAGGTAAATGTTTTGTATATTGAACAGGACTTGTTAGAACCGTATTTTGGATGGGATTTAATCGTTTAACACCAAAACCTAAATCAAAAAAAAAAAGTTAAAGAAATTTTAGAAAATTGTCAATACATTATAAACAGTAGTTTTAAAGCAGTTAATTTGGGGTTTGTAATCTAAAGTTCTAAGCACACAAAGAAATAACATTTTTTCTAGCTGATTGGACTATATTAGTAGCCTGGAAACCAAACAACCATTTAATCCCAAGTACCAGAAACTATTTGCGGTATTTAAGCTTTCACGCCAATTTAATTTGCTAACTGACTTTTTTACTCCACGGTGCCTGCATCCAAACAGAAACTTCAATTGCAGTTGCCCCATACACACACACATAAACCTCACGCACACTCCTTTATGTCAAGCCGGTTTTTTTTGTGGAAAAGGGGGCGGAAGAGGGGCGGTTAAAGAGGAAGGGACTGCAGTTAAAATGTGGCAAAATGAAAAAGGAAAATGTGTACTGGAAAAATGCAAGGCATGCAACAAAACAATAGCAACACCACAGCGACAACAACAACTTGCTAGTGAGTAACGACGACAATAATCAAAATCCTGGTACATTATTATACGGTCGACTTGGGGAACCAGTTTTATTGCAATTTGTATTTGAAGCGGCCAAACAGCCCCAGAAATTACGTATCACGAAAATAAATATATTTTTCTCGTCGCTGCCTCTTCTTCTTCTTCGTCTTCTGCGGCTAATAACAAAAACAACAGCACAGCCGTGTCTTTGTTTTTACGTCAGTTCGAGATTACAAAAACACACATACAAATACCTGTAAGCTAGGTTACATGTGTGCGTGTGGGCTCCACCTGTTGTTGTAATTTTAATTGGCCAAAAGCATTTCGGTGGAATCTCGAGACAGCGCCGTATGTTCTGGCAATTGTGGAAAAATCACTTTTCTGGCAAAATGTAAAACAATTGAAAAGCAACAGGTAAACAAGCAGAAATACCCACACACACATGCGGGCATTACTAAGCGGGCATATGTTTGTATGGGAGTGAGGCTCCAACCGCAAAAGAGAAAACTACAGCCGATCACGGATCACCTACGCTGGAAAGGGTCGGTCTTTCGAGTGGGCGGTGGGGATTTCAAGTGCACTTGTCCTCAGCTGATGTGCAAAGATTAAATTTAATTAGAGGTTAGTTGTCAAGTTAAGGTGGGTCTATTTTTTAGAAAATAAACTTGTATTTCAATAAGGGGTTAATATTTTTCAAAATGTATGGTACACATTTAATAGAATAACAGTAAAAAAAATTATTTTAATTGTACATTTGTAATGCCGTTTACTCAATGTTTTTTTACAAATGAAGAATTATACTACTACTACTACAGTACAGCAAATGATAAATAATAATATTTCTTACCAAAACTATCAACATAAAGTAGTCTAGTGATAAAATACAATTCTAAATCAAAACTGCATATTTTGCAAACCATAGGGGTTAGTCGGCTTTAAGAGGTTAAAAGTAAAATTAGCATGAAA